TTTAACTGAATACGGGCCTAGAGTAAATGGTTACCATTCATGTTTCTCAAGCTGAAAGACTTAGGCTCCAATCTCACCGCGGGCAAGTCACGAATGACCTAAAATGTGTTAAACAAATCAGATAAACGATAATCATTAGTTCAACGACAGATGAATTTCAATTAAATTTTAAACAAGACGTAAACAGCAGAACTTCAAGTTAAGTTGCTTTCATTTAAAACGTCTTGACTGCATAATGAAAGCACAATATGATATCAGACTTATGTCGCAACATTTGAAATCAAAAATGAGTTTTCATTATGATAGGAACTGCACACTTTAATATCGATTTGCTTTCATTTTGTTAACCGAGTTTGCTCGGGTTGTAACAACTTTTTGCAAATCTTGGCAAGTTCCGAGGAAAATTCAGATAGCGTACTCCCAGTCGAGCTCCCGGTATTATTTTCTCGGCAAGAAAAACAAAACATTCAAGCTGTCAGAAAACCGGGTTGCCAAGCATTATTCACGAACAAAGTCAACCCGATGACTGGCGCTGTCGGCACTGCTGACACAGCGCGGCACACTTGAAACACACTGAGCAAAAAGTTGGCGCAAAATAAGTGTGCAGTGTGACCACCCCTTGATTTAACCGTCCCTTCAACCGAACTTTATTACGCTTTGTATCATAGTATTAAAGAAAGCCGATTTAAAGTATAACTCCTTAATGTGAAGGAACTTTGATTGAACCCATGCTACTGGTATAAGATCTACCACCGAACCCTAGTCGTGACAACTTCAAACTAGGGAATCAGGATTTTCCAGTTATCAAAGGATCACATTTTAGCCCTTGTTACTTTTTATGGCTTGACAAGAGTGACAAGACTCGGGTAGTGACCACCACTGCATTTCTATATTGTATATTTCAAATTAAAAATATTGTTTATGTTCATAGATTTCACATAATCCTTTTCCCTTTGTCCTCCTCCTTTTCCTTTCCCTCTTCTCTTTTCAGAAAGTGAGTAATGGCGCTATAGCCATAAGTCATAAAATGCTACGGCAAGAGTTAGTGCTCATGCCCCAACCGTCAGAAGAAAATTGAGCCTCACTTAACCTTTCTAGCTTTGATGCTTCCAACGACTAACCAATCATATTATTACCAAAATCGGAACGAACGGTACGAGATGTCCACGTTTCATCCATTTATTGGATTCTGAAGCATCGTGTTTAGATCTTCGATTTAAACAGGCCCGATGTTTTCCGAATCATCTTGCCCCTTAAATGCTGCACATTAGGCCTGGCCGTTTTGATATGTGTAACGCATCTTCGATGTGGAACATATATTAAATAGACAAGAAAAAGGATGGAGGTATATCTATCATTTTCCAGGATGCTTTCAAGAACTGGCTGTGTTGGTGTTAGATTAGATTAGATTAGATTAGATTAGATTAGATTAGATTAGATTAGATTAGATTAGATAAGATTAGATTAGGAGTTTTGATTGAACCCATGCTTTTCTGCTCAGTAAGCAAAATCGGCCCCCACAAGGCCACCAAGCTCCTCGTTTCACAAAACAGTTACGACCAAGCTCCCGTTCAACTTGCTGTTACTAGATTTCGATTGAGGCGGTGACCTTACCGACGACGATAACAACTACTATTGAGAAGGATTTGTTATAGATTTTTGATCAACACGTTTTTTTCTAAAACTCGAATGTTATTTCTTTTAAGTATTTTTTTCTCCGTGATTTGTTTTCCGTCGATCTTGTTTTCCGTACTGAACATCAATGCTACCGACGCCAGGGAGGCAGCTCCCACATCTGGACCCTACCTATTGAACCCAGGCCTGCTGGGGTGAGAGGCAATCACGCTTGCCACTACACCACCGGTGCCACTATTTCTTTTAAGTACTTCTTCCTCCAACCGAATTTCGCTTTATCTCATATTAAGAAAGAAATCCGATTTAGCGTTAGCGTCAGCGTTGTTAAGATATACTTCATAGATTGAATACTATTGACAGACTGCTTCCAGGAATAATACTGGGGAGTAAACATTGAATTTTAACAAGGATACGAAAATACATGGCCGTGGGGATACAAATAAAATCTGTCAATGTTGCTTAGGATCTAATGCAATGTTCAGCTTGATATATACTCTTAGAATAACATTTTTGATTTGAAATATCTATATATATAAAAATGAATTTCTGTCTGTCTGTCTGTCTGTCTGTCTGTCTGTCTGTCTGTCTGTCTGTCTGTCTGTCTGTCTGTCTGTCTGTCTGTCTGTCTGTCTGTCTGTCTGTCTGTCTGTCTGTCTGTCTGTCTGTCTGTCTGTCTGTCTGTCTGTCTGTCTGTCTGTCTGTCTGTCTGTCTGTCTGTCTGTCTGTCTGTCTGTCTGTCTGTCTGTCTGTCTGTCTGTCTGTCTGTCTGTCTGTCTGTCTGTCTGTCTGTCTGTCTGTCTGTCTGTCTGTCTGTCTGTCTGTCTGTCTGTCTGTCTGTCTGTCTGTCTGTCTGTCTGTCTGTCTGTCTGTCTGTCTGTCTGTCTGTCTGTCTGTCTGTCTGTCTGTCTGTCTGTCTGTCTGTCTGTCTGTCTGTCTGTCTGTCTGTCTGTCTGTCTGTCTGTCTGTCTGTCTGTCTGTCTGTCTGTCTGTCTGTCTGTCTGTCTGTCTGTCTGTCTGTCTGTCTGTCTGTCTGTCTGTCTGTCTGTCTGTCTGTCTGTCTGTCTGTCTGTCTGTCTGTCTGTCTGTCTGTCTGTCTGTCTGTCTGTCTGTCTGTCTGTCTGTCTGTCTGTCTGTCTGTCTGTCTGTCTGTCTGTCTGTCTGTCTGTCTGTCTGTCTGTCTGTCTGTCTGTCTGTCTGTCTGTCTGTCTGTCTGTCTGTCTGTCTGTCTGTCTGTCTGTCTGTCTGTCTGTCTGTCTGTCTGTCTGTCTGTCTGTCTGTCTGTCTGTCTGTCTGTCTGTCTGTCTGTCTGTCTGTCTGTCTGTCTGTCTGTCTGTCTGTCTGTCTGTCTGTCTGTCTGTCTGTCTGTCTGTCTGTCTGTCTGTCTGTCTGTCTGTCTGTCTGTCTGTCTGTCTGTCTGTCTGTCTGTCTGTCTGTCTGTCTGTCTGTCTGTCTGTCTGTCTGTCTGTCTGTCTGTCTGTCTGTCTGTCTGTCTGACCCTTATAGACTCGGAAACTACTGAACCGATTGGCGTGAAAATTTGTACACAGGGGTTTTTGGGGCCGTGGAAGGTTCTTATGATGCTTCGAGATCCCTCCCCCTTCTGTAAGGGGGGGCTCCCATACAAATGAAACAGAAATTTCTGCATAACTCGAGAACTAATCAAGCAAATGGAACCAAATTAGGCATGTGGGGGCGAGTGTGGGGGTATAAGGAGATAATCATAGGGGGTAGCCCCTTATATAATAGGGGGGGGGGCTACGTACAATATAGCATGCTTTTTTTTAATCGGCGCATAAACTCAAGCTAATATTGAATCCCGAGCACGACCGGGCACACTCAGCTAGTACAATATAAAGATTCATAACGGAGGTGGTCACTACTTGATTCTTGTCACTATCAACAAAGCATAAAGGACTAAAATATGTTCCTTTGATTACTGAAAAATCCTGTTCCACTAGTTTGAAGTTTTCAGGACTAGGGTTCGGTAATTTATCTTATACCAGTATCGCACCACGTAAAAGTGATCTACCAGCGTTATTGCTTTGAAAAGATAAAAATGGAACAAACTCACCAAGTTTAGCCAATTGAACCTAGATGCAACTTCACATATATTGATGTAGAAGTCCGAATTGTAGACGGTCCGCTTGACGAAGACCAACATGAACTAGTGTGGTTTCTGGTAGAGCTGACACGGAATGTCTTCTCTCGATTTGAGATAAGAAATGTTCGGATGTAGTGTAGATTTTTGATGTACATTGGCAAGCCAATAGCCAGGTTCAGTGACTCAACGATGAGACGAATGATGAGACGTCGAGGGCCCATGTTGGTTCTACTTGGCTTCGGAACAGCTTGTCAGCGGTAAATAACAGGGACGTAGAACTAGATAGAATGAGATGCAGCTTTCAACGGACTTTTGTCTTAGTGAACTCGCTGAGGAACTACAAATCGTATCCTTTGCATGGTTTTGACCTGACCAGTAACTGATTATAGAAAGAAAGAAACTCCACAGAAATAAACAAACGTCACGTTCAATCACACGCACAGCCTACACGGATAGAAATCTCCTTATACCTTTTGGCAAATTTCTATTGCTGATTATTCATAAAATGTATAAGTCAACTAATAAGCAGACGCCTTGCAAAAAGTTAATGAAGATCATGTGTTGAATGAGATGTATAAGCGGTCACACATACCTTTTCTGCATTCTTATAGGACCTATGTGGTTTGTCTTATGGAATGTATAAGGCTGATGTAATGGCAAAAATGTATAAGTGAAACACATGAATAAAATAATTGATTTTCGTTTCGTGTACTCTCCATTATCAACATATTTGAGAAAACCACGTATTCCACATCGCCGCGCCACTTTACCTTTTATTGCTGAGAGAGAGAGAGAGTGTTGTGAGAACCACACTGTAGTCTCTCACTCCTGCCCCAACCAAGAATAGGGAGCGCATTTTCCAAAACAATGAATCTACTCACTCTCTTTCTCTTCCGTTGTGGGGCTACCTCAACAACCAACCATGCACCCACATTGGATGATAAGCAGTCGTCCACCCCGCTCAGAATCTGCACTAGTCCTCCCTTGGGACCAGAGGAAGGACGCTCGGTAAGAGGGAAAAAGTGCCGAACGCGCCAACAACGTCAAACAAACAAACAGTGCTGCTGCTGCTGCTGCTGCTGGTGGTTTTACCGAAAATTGTTGAGAGCGAGAAAGTGCGTGCGTGTGTCAGAGAGGGAGAGCGGGAGCACCGTTCGGTAAAATCTAGCAGCATCCCAGGCACAGAACGGTTTTTCCGGAGATCCAATCGATTTTGCGATTTTACCAGCCCGCACCAGTCCGACTCAGTCAGTCAGGTGTAGACAGTGGTTCGAAGTGGTTCCCCCAAAAACGTTGGATTGCGCTGTGCGGCCCCAAGTGTGGATCTCCTCCTGGTGGGGGCAGAAAAAAAAAATAAGAAGAGGAAGAAGAAGTGGAAGCAAAAGAGTCCTAGATCCTAGGGCTGTGTGCTACAAAGGTGAACTTTTTTTGGTGATATTTTTCGGGAAGGGCTTTCTAATAAGCGACTGGTGCAAAGTTTCCGTGAGTGGATCAACGACGATTGGCGACGAAGATTGATGGGCGTTTGAAATGGGCGCGGATCAGGATATTGGGATGCTGCAAATGTGATTTTCCTTTCTTTCCTTCATCTACAGTAGCAGCAGCAGCAGAAGCAGCACGGGGGGGATGATGCAGAGTGAAAAAATTGATCTGTGAAACGGTTTTACATGCCTGGTTGACACCCATTTCTCGAACGCTGTTCAAAAAGGATGTGTTTGATTTAAAGAAAATTGTGCTTTTCAGGAAGATGGGTGCGAATTGAGAGCCATCCAAGTCCAACGAAATCTGCTAAGAATAATCTAAAGCATTGAAAAGTGATACAAAAGAGTGAAAAGAAAAAAAAAGTCCCATTCGAAAATCGTAGCAAGAAAAATCGGTGCGAAAAATCCGGATGGAAAAGTGAGAAATTTTCATTTCTGAATAAAATGAACCACTTGAGGCTGAGCTGAGCTCTGGAAAAACGCCAAAGAAGCAGCGAAAGTGAAGGAGTGAAGGATTTTGCACACCTCCGAGGGAGGGAAAAGGCTGAAGCGAAATACGACGAAAAGTGCAATAAGATAGGGAGAGCCAACCCAACGAAAAAAAAAGCAGCCAGAGAGGAAAATCGGGAAAAATTACCTCCAGGTAAGATTTATCTCGCACACACAGTCGAGTCGTTGTCATAGTCGGAGCCGGAGCAGCCCATCTTCATCATCGCACCTTTATTTGTTGGATCTATCTCCGGGGAGTTTCGTTTGGGGAAGGAAATGGTTGTCGATTTTTACCCAATATGTTCTGCGGCGGGGGAGTTCCTCTAATACCAACATTATCATGATGCTGCTATTTCTTAAAAATGAGCTTGGGGAGGATTGGTTATTTTGGTGGCACTTGCGATAATGGCGTCCTGGCCTTGGTCCTCAAAGTCCTGATGTATGTGTTTGTGTGTGCGAAATGGAAAGGTGCGAATTCGGTGTGATATAACACCGTTTGGAATTGGATTTCCTGGAAGTGTGGTTGATGCGTGGAAATTTTCGGAAGTTGTTGGCGAAAATCAAGTTTCATTGTCGTCAAGCACGAGGGGGATTCCGCTTGGTAACAACAATGTGGTCCAAAGATTAGGGACCGTTCTCGACGTTGTGGATTGGGTAAGGTTAGCGAATGATAGAGGGATCCAAACAAAAGGCAGTCAGCGATGGGAGGAATGAACTTGATGTTTGAGTGCGTCAGATTATCGATGTTGTGTGATGATGATAAATGATATGGTTATAGAATGGTATTTCCGTTTGATTGATATCGTTTTGGGTCATATTCCGGACTGAATCAAATTATACTATGGACATGCTTATCGCATATTAGCTTATTGTGTTCTAGATGCACTTCCACAGTTATTAATTGAGAGCTTTCGAGGCCTGTACCATTTTTGCATTAGTATGATTGCGTGGAAAGTACAATCTACTCTATGCCCAGGGAAGTGGAGAAATTTTCCAACCCAAAAAAATCCTAGACCGGACCGGGAATCGAACCCATCTCCAGCATGGCAGTGGCATTTTTTGTTTGTTCTGTTAAACTATGGTTAAATAGAAACTCTTAAACTGCCATTCAATCAAAAGGCGTCAAGGCTATTTGTTATTTTATTTTTGTAATTAAACTACACATAGTTCGGATCCTATAAGGATTTTAAGGATCTAAAACATAAGAAAAATATCATGTTAAATAATTCTCAGAGTTAGATAAATCCATGAATTTTGTACACGGTGAATGAGAACAACCCAAATTTGGTTTAGTTTACTCATAATCGCCAAAAGTGCAGGAACTCAGCGATGAATAAATTTGCCTCATGTTTTCCCAGGTTTTTCCAGGATTTTCCAGGGAAACATTCCCGAATTTGAGAAAATTAAAGATTGGATTCACTGAGTCTGTTGGTACTACTCCGAGACTGAATAAAATTTTCGTCAATTTCCTCATTTTCCGGCAGATTTTTTAGGTTTTCCAGAGGAAACCATGAGACAAATTTACTCATCGCTGAGTTCCTGCACTTTTGGCGATTATGAGTTTACTAAACTCAAATTTGGGTCGTTCTCATTCGCCGTGTAACTAGATTTTGTTTAGATCATCTATCTCAAGGGGAAGGTCACTCCTCACAGTGTGCCAGAAACACAGTTGGGCACACCGGGCACACTCATTGGTACTGTTCAGCACCCATGGTTATAATTGTTCATGATATTTAAAGTTCCTGGCAACACTGCACTACCTCTGTGTATACGTGTCAGTCAAGCAATTTTTTACATTCGCAATGTACACGAAATATTTCACGCACACCCAAAATAATTAAATTTTTTAGAGGAGCCAACGGTGGCTCACTAGTTGACTAGCCTATTGGTCCCAAGCAAATCGATTAACGTATCCCATTCTAGACGAAATTATAGTACTACACTATGTTTGTTTTGAATCGCTATGAAAATTTTACAGATTAAATGAGGGGTTCGTGGATTTTCTCTAGGGGCATCCCACTCTAAACTTTGTATTTTTCGCATTATACTCAGAAAGTCCTTACTGATATTTAAGATACCTGCAAATACTTAAAAATACTTAAGAAATATTTAGCGCTAGTTTGTTACCTCCGTTGCTAGACAGATTTCTTTCGATTGTTTACCCGGTGTCATCCGAGAATTTGTGTGTGCGTATTTAGAAAAATCAACTATTATTTTTTAATTTATTCCTTTTTTGTAGGAATCGATGAGGAGACCATTTTGAATCAAAGAAAAATAACATTGCCAAACCGATTCACCTGTCATTCAAAGGAAGAATAAGGAACTTTTTAGAAAGTTACTGTGGAAGAAACTGAGCAAATGTTTCTATCCCAAAACCATGTCTCCATAAAGATGGATTTTTCGTCCATTAGGTTCTTGACCGTTGGACGATAACTTCAGGCCTTTACGCTGATTGAAGCTGAATAAGAAGTTGTGAAAGCTTTCTGCACCATCCGCAAAGCCACATCTCCTAGATTGCCGTCGAATGAGAAGAGAATCACATTTCCTCGGATTTGGAACCTTCGATGCTCTCCTGCTTAAGGCTTATTAGGGCAGAGAGCTACTTCGGCCTAATCGCCCATTTTGGGCCTATTTAGCAGAAAACATTAAATCAAACCATGATTACGGCGTTAACAAGTCAATTATGCGTTTGGTTCGATACTACCGAACGAAGTCAATAAGAAAGTGTGATATGAATGTTTGAACCCATTATTCTCAAAAAACAAAAGAGTGAATTAAATTGCGTTTGAATGGCGTTTCAGTGCGTTAGGCCGAGTTAAGAATCCGAAGGCCTAGTTTGGGGTCAAGAAGCAGTCTTAGATTTTTTACAATGTGTTACTCTTTATCAAATCTTACGATACGTACGGAAAGTTCAATAAATTTGGAAGGCATCTGCAGTGAGAACATTCCATTTTGTGAAAAAATTCATTCTAAAAATAGAGGTAAAGGGCGGGTTGTGCTTACTAGGCCCAAAATAAGATCTAAGCCGTATTAAGGCTGGAAATTATCAAACCAACATATTCGCTTCGTGTTAATCTCGGAACCGTTCTCTAGTTGATTCTATCATTCATCAGAAACGGCTATGTGTTAAAACATTAATTTGGACTGTTTGGGGAATGGTTTGAAATAAATTCATACATTTTAACTTAGGTTTATTTTACTTGAAATTGGTACAAATAAGTAACGTTTTGGAACTAAATCGTTTTATTTGGTATATTAATGGTTTGTTATAAATTATAATTTCAGAACAGATTAATATTTTTCTTATCCTTACTTACTGGTAAAAGTGAGAAATTCATTTTGATTTCACATAAAGTCTTCGGTTGCTATCAGGATACTCGCTCAACTCCCTCACCAGTCCATCATAACTCATGTAACCTATGTAAATTTTTAAAAACGCGGTTCGATACGACCACCAGTGGCAATTGCAATTAGTTCAACTTCGAGCTCACCAGCATAACGAATTGCTGGTAGTTATGCTTCATTGTCCTCTGGCAAATAACCAGCGTAGTCCTAGCATCTTTGGCCTGCTTTAAATTAAAGAATTTCATAATCATGCAGCTTGCGATAGTTCTTAGCCGAATTGACATTCAACATACGCTTTTATTTTGGCAGTTCAGTTTGAAATCTAGTTACGAGTTCGGACGACAACGGCACCATTAACCTCCAGCTAAGCAACATAATTCAAAAGTTTGATATAGTACTAATCAGCCAGTTCGAAATCATAAATAATTCGCTATCCCTGCTCCAACTGGTTCGCTGAAAGTAAAATGTTTTTGATGAACTATTTCATAACTAGAATTAAAATACTTACTTATAATCATTGAATTTTACTACTTCATTTAATTTAAAACATATTGAAACTAGCATTAATATGCTTTAAAACGTGATTAAAAGTAATCCAGCTTTCCATGCTCAGTAATGGCGGCCTGTTTGTATGAATAAATGTATCCTTCACTGTGCTTTTTGACACTAACCGGAGGGCGTATGTTGTTCCATTTTCTACTGTTCCTGGGAGAGGGAAAGGGAAGGGGTTGAAATTCGAACATCCAGATAGTGTCAAAAAGCACAGTGAAGGATACATTTATCGAGCATGGAAAGCTGGATACATTGACGGAATATACAACAACAAATAACTACATTAGTAACCGGTCACTACGATTAAAAAATCCAAATCTTAAAATACTTAAAAATACTTAAGAATACTTATCAGATACTTCGAAATATTTAATTGATACTAGAGCTATAGTTTAGAGTGGGATGCCCCTAGGATTTTCTTATGTTTCCAGGGGTGTATCGATTAATTTGGGACCGAAAAGAGTACCAGAGCTAAGTCAAAAAGTTGAGCACGTTTCTATGGGACTTTCTGGTCTTACAGTTACCTTTACTCAAAATTTCTAGTTTTGAAATACGGCAATGTGCACATAGAATAAATACATTAAGGACATAGGAAAAAGTTCAAAATATATGACAATTATGGTTTTTGAAATTCTGTCAGTTAAATTAAAAATTGGTTTGAGATCCCAAACCCATATGTTTTCAAGATTTTGTCACTAAAAAAATACATTCCTCCGATACAGATTGTAAGTAAAAACTCTTTTTTTTTATCTTGTTCATTAATTTGGATGGCTCAATTGCGTTAGCTTAACGGAGCCGATAATTAATTGTCCATCATTTTTAACAAAATTAACTTATTTCTATGTCGGCCGAATACTCATGGCTTACCCGAGATTAGAGGGGTACATTTTCGAAGGTTAGGATCAAGGGAAGAGCTTGTGGGTGAGGTTTTGTTGTCTCATCAAGTATAAATTCTTCGAATGCAAATGTAAATAAACGATCGCGACATTTCATCAATAATCAAAATTTTAAGAATAAGATAAAATTGCAGATCCATCCTAGACTGTAATTTCTATGAATTTTAATAATTATACATACTATGAGTATGCCTGAAAAATATTCGATATAATTTTATTTTTATCAGATTTTTAAGATAACTACCGGATTTTTAAATGTTTATAGATACCTCGGACTGACTTACTTACGTAGTTAGCACTGGCGTGCACAGGGTGGGGCAAGGTGGGGCAATCGCCCCCCTCTCTTTTATAAATCAGATTT